AGTTTGAAAGGACCCTCTTTTGAACATGGGTGAGTGGGGCTTTCAGTCATGTGGCAGATATTTGCATTATGTTAGTACACAGCATAGCTTCTTCAGGAGGGTATTTTTCCAGTGGGGTGAGTTGTATATGTTAATGTTCCAAGCCAAAAGATGATGCCAGTGGACATGTGAACTCACTTTCAATGTTTATGAATTCCCCACTCTATGGCTCTTGTTGGGAAGAGAGGCTATTTCTCCTGAGAAGTAAATACATCAGACATCTGCTCCTGAAACCCTCTCTCAGCTAGAATAAGGGAAGTGGCAGGCCCTCCTCCTTAGATACACCTGCTCCATCCTTTGACACACAGAAAGGGAGACCAACCATCATGAGAACTTTTTCTATTGTTGGGCAATTGCAGTGAAATAGATTTTTGGGATGCAGGAGGACAGGTGGTAGCAAGCTGATTGGCATTTAAGTCAGCAGCTCTTTAGTAAAGCAGCTTACCCTCCATAATGTAGGTGGGTCTTTTCCAATCATTTGAAAATATCCACTTCTTGTGCAAGAGAAAATTCAGCTAGCAGGTTGCCTTTGGATTCAAACTGCAGTATCAACTCTTTCCTGGGTCTCTAGTCTGCTGATAGACCCTGCAGATTTTGGACTTGCCAAGCCTCCACAATTACTATATTTTTTTGTCTTTTTTTTGAGACAAGGTCTCACTATGCAGTTCAGGTTGGCCTTGAGCTCACTTTGTAGCCCAGGCTGATCTCGAACTTGCAACAGTCCTCCTGCTTCAGCCTCCCTAGTGCTGGGATTACAGGCATGTGCCACCATACCCAGCTGTTTTTTTTTTTTTTAATTTTAAAGAGAAAAGAACAAAAACAAAGACATAAACAAAACAACATAAAAACAAAAACAATACAGAATTTCAAAACAAGGTGATAGAAAATTAACAATAGTTGTTGTTACATACATATTGTTATCTTTAAAGTGGTTATTCAGATAACCAGATATAGGTATATAAAAATGATCAAACAATTAAACATTAAATGTTTCTTTCAATAAACCAATAGAAATTAGTAGTACAATTATCTTAGCTATCTTGTGTATATATATATATATACACATACATATTTTTCCCCTTCTTTCTTTCTTTTCTCTTTTCCCTCATCCCAGTTGTTCTTTCTTTTTGAGCAGTTTCTTTCCCTTTCACAATATCTACTGTACCATTCAGATTTTATTTACTCTTTCAGTTTCTTACACTAGGGAGACAATGTGAGTCTGATTTATTTCACTTATGAGTATGGCCTGTAGTTGCATCCATTTACCTATAAAAGCCTCAAGTTTATCTTTGTTTATAGCTGAGTAATACACCATTGTATAAAAATACCACATCTTTTTTTATCCATTCCTCAGTTGGTGAGCCTCCACAATTACATGAGCAAATTCTTCAGAGTTTAAAATCAATCTGTCTATCTGTCTGTCTGTCTGTCTCCTTCTCTCTTTCCCACCCAGTAGTATTGATTAGGAGATTAGGGTGTGGTAAAGCTGGCTGGGGAAATAGGCATGACCTGTTAATTACAAAGATACTGGAACACATGGACAAAATAATTCCCAAAGCCCTGCACGTGGATTTCTTGGGAGAACTTGAGCAAGTTTTTAATAGGATCGCCTAGACCTGATGTCAGCCTGAGGCGTGGGATCCCAGCACTGCCTCTCAGGACCCGCATGTATAAGTTCTCGCGGGTTTCCTAAAGATTTGGACAGTGGAAAAGGACACAGATGCCAAGAAGAACCTGCTGTCTGGCTTTCCTCACTGTAGCCCGCCCCACTTTCTCTATGGTGTTCTCTCTGGCTTTTTCGTCTTTTACTCAGCTCAGGCTCACTCTGTAGAGCCAATTTCTCCCTCATTCTTCACTTTAAATTTTTCAAGTGAACTTTGCCACTGCTTTTTGCTAGTTTCATTCAACTCTTTGTTCGAGATGAGAAGAACCCGGAATCCACTTCCAGAAGGAGAGGGGAGCAAGCCAGAACCTGGTAACTGGAGAGCCACTTTTAGAAGGAGCTCCCTGATGACATTTTGGTGTAGCCATACATTCAAAGCCAGGAGAATCAAAAGCCAGGATAACAGTTTGACTATGGATAGTGTCCCCCAGAAGTCCATATGTTACAGGTTTGGCTTCAGGTTGGGGCTACTGGGAGATGATGTGGACCTTGAGGAGATGGAACCCCATGGTGGTCCTTAACCCACTGGGGACATGGCCTTGAACAGCATCGTGAGACCTCACCTTTCCTCTCTCTGCTTCCTGGCTCACGATATGACTGGTTGCTCTGACGTGCTGCTGCCATCACCACGCACTGGCCTCACCAGAGGGCAAATCAATGGGGGCTCCTCCAGTCCTGTCCCTGAACCTCCAAAACAGGGAGCTAACTGAAGCTTTTATTTATATTTAGAAAGTTAGCTAAACCAAACATGGTGGAGCACGCATGTAATGCTAGGACTCAGGAGGCTGAGGCAGGAGGATCACTGTAAGTTGGAGACCAGTCTGGGCTACATAGTGAGTTCAAAGCCAGCCTGGACTACAAAGTGAGACCCTGTCTCAAAAAATACCCCCCAAAAACAAAATCAAAAACAAAATTAGTTGCCTCAGATATTTCACTGAGTAATGCAAAGCTACACACACACACACAATTATATTCTGTTGGAGATTTAAGAAATCCAATCTAAGAAGTCCCCTCATCTGGTCTGGATCCCTACTCGTAGCTCAGCACCAGCTAGTGAGGACATTGGTGCTGTGGTCACCAAGCATGAGGTGATGTGCCTTACATTTCTGATGCAGCTATCACAGACATCACTGCTGACCATGTCCCAAATTATATGTCTGAACAATTTGTTTATCTACTCATCCATGGATGACTCAATATTCTTTTTGTTTGAGACAGGGTCTTACTATGAAGTCCAGGCTGGGCTCAAACTCAAGATCCTCGTGCCTCAGCTCCCAGAGGCTTGTACCACCAAATTCAGCTTCAGTATTTTTTTTTTAGTACAACCTCTTCTGCTGAAATTAGCCACACTCGTTTTCCTTATTTTCACCTGAGTGAGACATGATGGAATGCAGCCAGTCATCAGAAAATGACTCAAAGCCAGAAGTAGGAAACCATTAGGACTTTCTCCAAATAAGATGTTCTCCTTTATTTGTGTTTGCTTCTGTAACCCCGGCCTGCTTCTCATAATAGGACAGGAGAGACTCCATTTTGTTTTTGTAACCCCATTTTAGACGTCACTTAAACTTTAGATGAACTCAATTCTCCACCTCTTCCCTGATAGCTAGCAAAAGGAGAACAGAGCTATAAAATGAGAAACAAATAGTTAAAACGAACTGTAGGTAAACTAAAATTTAACCATACTAACAAACCCCTGGGAAATGTAAACCTTGTGACCATGATGTGGCATTTTTGTTAAAATTCCTAAATGTAATATGGTTACCATGGTTACTTGTAGAAGTATAAAAACCCAGTACAAATTTTGCTGGTCACCAATATCTTGTTTTTCTGACTCTTGGTCAGTGGTGTTAGTCGAGTGCTTCAATAAAGCTTTGTTTGTTCCTGCATTTTCGGCTTCTCATGGGTACCTGTCTCGTTGAATCTCACTGTAACACTCAGATAAGAATGGGGAAGGCAGAAGACTGTTGGGTTTCTACATTTTGTACAAGCCACGTAGTAATGTGAACTGGCCGCCCTTCGATCCTACAACCAAATGGTCTGGTCCGTCCGAGCACAGTTAGGAGGATGAGATGTAGCACAAACGGCTTCCTGAGGCCCCACCACATCGAGACCACGTGCAGTAGGAGATTCCATGCCAAGAAAGTCAGAAAGACATTCCAAAAGGTATCTACCTTAGAGGGCTGGAATTTATAAACCACAGCACATTGGGCTTTTCTGGAGCCATCCTTCCTTAGAATTTGGCTACCTTTTATCCCAAACATGTTCATGGATTAAGCCCAGCATATACTGTTAACATTTCTATCTGGAGGAGATATGGCATCCCTGACCTTCTCTGAAGATGACCAGACATAAGAAAGCAAAGATTACACAGAAACCACAGGGTACTCTCTGATCTCAGCAGAGAAAGAGGAAATAAGACCCGCAATTCCACCCACACCTGTGGGCATAGGTCCAGATCACCAAGGTGATGAGCCTTGAAGCCCCAAGGGATTTTTTCCAGGATTTGTCTCTCTTAATATAGATTCATTTCTAATAGCTTTAAGTTTTGATCCAAGAGTTAGATCAAAACTTCAGTGATATTCTTTGTCATCATTATATGGTCTAAAGGGGCCAAAAAAATAGTTGCAAATTATTCTCTTGCCTGTAATGAGGCTCTTAGGGAGTCTGGCCCCAGTGGTCAAAGACGCTCCTGTCAATGGCTGCTCCGTGATTGCCCCAAACATCCGTCTTACACAGAACATTAAGACCACAACCACTAGCTTCGTATTTACTCAGGACCTGCCTGTGTTTCCAAGATAATCTAACTGCTATGATAAAGAGAAGCACTGGCCAAGTGTGTAGCAGGAAAGAGCAATGAATAGTGATAGCACCAACCTCCCCAGGTATGCTTATATCAAGTGGAGTAAATATTTGATGTGAAGCTCTTTTACAGGAACCTCTTTTGCTACATCTTTCAAATATGGGAAATAACAATAAGAGTTGTAAAACCATTGGTTGTCATTGAGATAAACCCAGTAATAATCAACCATTTCTCTTATCTCTCAATGAGCTGCTAAGGAGCCAGGTAGATCTGAGGTCGAGGGAGACTAGAAAGGTATAAGCGGAGACACACAGATTCAAGTAAGAAAAGCATCAGAACTAAGTGGCAGAATTGAATGTATGGGTGGAGTGGCCATAACCTCTTTAGCAATTCTGTCAACTGATCTGCAAATGTGGTCCTTCCTGGAGCCCAGTCATATCCTAACCATCCTGTCTGGGTTTTGAATTCTCTGTCCTCTATCCACCTGGGCTCAGTCCCATGGGAGGCCGGAACCAGTCCAGCGTCTCCGAGTTCCTCCTCCTGGGCCTCTCCAGGCAGCCCCAACAGCAGCAGCTCCTCTTCCTGCTCTTCCTCACCATGTACCTGGCCACCGTCCTGGGGAACCTGCTCATCGTCCTGGCCATCAGCACCGACTCTCGCCTGCACACCCCCATGTACTTCTTCCTCAGCAACCTGTCCTTCGTGGACATCTGCTTCTCCTCCACCACTGTCCCCAAGGTGCTGGCCAATCACATACTTGGCAGCCAGGCCGTCTCCTTCTCTGGCTGTCTCACGCAGATGTATTTTCTCTTTGAGCTTACTGACATGGACAATTTCCTCCTGGCCGTGATGGCCTATGACCGCTTTGTTGCCATATGCCATCCTTTACGGTACACAACAAAGATGACCCGTCAGCTCTGTGTTCTGCTGGTGGCTGGCTCTTGGGTGGTCGCCAACCTGAACGCTCTGTTGCACACCCTGCTGATGGCTCGGCTCTCATTCTGTGCAGACAATGTGATCCCCCACTTCTTCTGTGACGTGAGCCCGCTCCTGAGACTCTCCTGCTCAGACACACACCTCAATGAAATGATGATTCTTACCGAGGGTGCCCTGATCATGATCACCCCGTTTGTCTGCATCCTGGCCTCCTACCTGTGCATCACCTGTGCTGTCCTGAGGATCCCCTCCACGAGGGGGCGGTGCAAAGCCTTCTCCACCTGCGGCTCCCACTTGGCGGTGGTGGCCCTCTTCTATGGCACCATCATTGCTGTGTATTTCAACCCTGCATCCTCTCACTCTGCTGAGAAGGACACCGCAGCGACTGTGCTGTACACAGTGGTGACCCCCATGCTAAACCCTTGCATCTACAGCCTGAGGAACAGAGACTTGAAAGCAGCTCTGAGAAAAGTGGTCAGCAGAAATATATTCTCTTACCGATGAAGGTGCCATGGACCTGTCATTTCCAGGCAAAGGAATCTTTGCCAACTCACTGAAATGTAATGTGGAAGTTTCTGCAAGGAACTTAGAATAGCTATGCTCAGTATGTACTTATCCATGAATTTTGATTTAACTACGACCCTGCTCCTCCAAATATGTGATGATATTTGTTTAAGATTCCTGTATCTTAAAAACTTTTGTGGAAAAGACAAGTTTTCTCATTGACCACTTTGAAAGCTTACATGCCACACATATTTTGCTCTTCCCTTTTAATAAATGCTCTGAGAATTGCCAGCATTAGTTTTCAATCCTGGGTACCTGTTACGATCACCTGGGGACACTTGAAACTGTCTATATGGATGCGTGGCCAAACTTCAGCCTGTTAAACCAGAATCTCTGCGTGGGATTTGGGCATTGCTGTTTTTCCCATTAATCTCCTCACGGTTCTAATGTACTTGCTGAGCTGATCATCCTAGTCTTTGCAGTCCTTTATGGCTCTTGATGAAGAGTGAGCCTAGAAACCCTCAAGGAATCTGAGGCCCAATGTGAATAAATCCAGTGTGGCTCAAAGACAGTCACTGGAAGCTCTCTGTGGGCCAAAGCCTTGTGCTGAGAAGGTTGGTCCTTTGGCCAGAATTCACATTCTTGAGCCTCATTCAGGATCACAGGATCCTGAGAGCACGCATAATTTTTAGTGCTTCATCATCCAATTTGTCTCCCTTGCCTCAGGGTGATATATTTAGCACAAGATGTGCCTTTGATTTTGAAGGAAAAGATCCACATTTACTCTCCTCTCTGTCAAGGATGTCTTGCCTTTCTCTGCCTGGGAAGCAAACCCTCCCTGGATCCTTAGGACTTCAGTCAATGGCTCCTGCTCTTTGAAGCCTTTGCCAATTCTTCTAGGCTGAGATTTCCAACCCGCCTCTTGAGATCCCCGAGAAAATTCCTCTGAGTCACTCTGAACATGTCATACTGTCTATTCTGCTTGTTGCCCCCAACCTGTCCCCACTCCTTCCTCGTTTTCTGCAGGTGTGAGATGCTCAGGACTCACGGACAGACGCTGTACACCTTGAGTACCCTGCCCAAAGCTTGGCTCGCAGTAAATTACACATGCAGCCCACTTCTAGTGAATAGGTAAGTGCGTGACCACCATCTTTGAATTTGACACACTTACCTGGGCAAGAGGCTTTAAAAATTTTATTTTGTGAATCACAATAGGATATTTACACATTGTAAAAAATTTCACAAAATATAAGGAAGAAAATTAAAGTATCATGTAAAACTGCTAAATATATAAAAATAATTTTAACCAAAGTTGACTTTAAGCTGTTTTTACAATGTTGGATTTTCCCATTTCCCATGGCTTCAAACACCTTATAATGTGGTGTTTATGGTTGCTTGGTATTTCATAGTACAGATGGCGTGGATTATAAGTTATTTGGTCAATTTCCTAACTTCAAGTGGGTCAACTTCCCACAAGTATAAACCCTACAGAGCAGCAGGCATCTGGCTCACAGAACTTTGCATCCATTAGCATTTCCACACATCCCAGTGGGAGTGCTTCAACAGCAGGGTTGGGCATGGGGGCACAGTCTAGTTATTTCCACCCTGTTGCACTGACCTTACTTATCATGGAGTCCTAGGTTTCCTGCTTGGAGGCAGAGAATCCCAAACTCACTTGTCCAGTTGAGCCAGCTATGCCTGAGGCTCATGAATGTCATATATTAATTTGTGTTAAAAGGAAGAATTAGCCAGGTGTGGTGGCACACGCCAGTAATCCCAGCACTCAGGAGGCTGAGGCAGGAGGATCTTTGCGAGTTCAAGACCAGCCTGGGCTACAAAATGAGCTCAAGACTAGCCTGAACTGCATAGCGAGACCCTGTCTCAAAAAGACAAAAACAAAACAAAACAAAATAAAAAAAACTTGGTCAAGGAAGAATTGATTCAAAGTTTTCTCTTGGAAAGAAGAGTCAGTTTCTTTTTTAAACTTCTTTTTTTATTAGTATAAGTTTGTGATACATAATAATTATATTCATCTCAGAAGCTAGTATAACTCTTCGTAAGAAGAGTCGGTTTTTGCCTCCTATTTTTTTTTTAACTTTGGGTAGGGCTAAGAACAGACCTGCAATGTTCCAGCAAGTTGGCTCCTTCTTCCGATAGCGTCAGGCCCAGCCACCTGCACTGCGGAAGGAAGCTGACATTCAGACGGGGACCAGGACCAGACCCTTGCTGGGTGTCTTGCTCCCTCTCTTCCCACACCAGCTCTTTTGCACATGCTGCTTATCACGCTTGCACACACTCTCATTGTGCCCTCTACCATGCTGTGACATGGCCAGGGTTCTTCACTAGATGGCAGCACCATGCTTTCTGAACTTTCTGGTTGTGGAATTGTGAGCAAAATAAACCCATTTTCTTCATACCTCACATGGCATCAGACATTCTGTTATAGAAACACAAAGTAGACTAAGAGATCTTGTAACTCAAAGTAAGGCTCGAGGACAGGCATTTCTTGGGTGACTGTTAAAAATTCCTAATCTTGGTCTCTATCCCAAACCTCCTGCACCAGAAACTTCATTTAACAACACTGCCGGGTGATTTCTGTGCATGTTAATGGTTGCTACTTTAAGCTTCCCAAGGTTTGAAGTCTAGGAGACAATGCTTCTGCCTTTGTTTGTCTCTACAAGCTATGGCCTATATTGCAAATCTAATAGAAATACTAAGGTTTGTGCTTTGTGAGTCACACACGGGGTCTTTGTGACATCCTAGGCATCTCTTTCTACTTAATTAGGATGATAGAATAGAAGAGATGGTGTAGGATGGTATAGCTAGGAAACCATGGTGACCTCAGAACTTGAGACTATGTAGAAACACTGAGAAACTAATGTACCTGGGGTGGAAACACTGACTGAATGTGTGTTAGGCATGGTGGATTTATTCATCAACTTGGCATCTTAAACACTGTCTCTAACTGTGGAACTAGCTTTATTGTTTTTTTTTTTTTTTTGTCTTTTTGAGACAGGGTCTCACAATGCAATTCAGGCTGGCCTTGAGCTCACTTTGTAGCTGAGGCTGGCCTCAAACTCACAATGATCCTTTTGCTTCAGCCTCCCGAGTGCTGGGATTACAGGCATGCTCCACCATGCCTGGCGGAACTAGCTCTAAAATGGCAACAGTTGCTTAGATGATCCTAGCCTGGTGTATTCTCTTCCCATATCTAACTGGGATGGCTGTATAAGCAATGGTGTGCTCAAGAAATGATGGTGTGTCCTGCCTGCGTTTAGAGGAAAATTGTGCTCTGTGCTTTCCTGAGATCTAGTTCTGAGGTACTCTAGTTCTGTCTTCCAATCAAGAAAATAAACATGTAGTGTTTTTTTTTCTTTCTTTCTTTTTTTTTGGGGGGTCTTTTTGAGACAAGGTTTTGCTATGCAGTTCAGGCTGGTCTTGCACTCATTTTGTAGACCAGGCTGGTCTCAAACTCATACCAATCCTCCTGCCTCAGCCTCTGTAGTACTGGGATTACAGGCATGCCCCACCTTGCCCAGACTACGTGTTTCTTTTGTTAAATGTTTAACAATCTCTTTAGTAAATACAAGTAGTTGAACAATTATTTCAAGAGCTCAACAGATGACAAGCTTCTTTTCCAGAAATGACATTACTTCAAAAATTTATCATGGGGGGAAAGGAAGGGAAAAGAAAACAATGAGAAAAGAAGGAAATGATGGAAACAAAGCTTCTGTAATTAGGGAAGGGAAGAGGGGCTGAAGGGAGGGGAGGGGACTGGGAATAAAAGAATCAAGTTGTATCATGTACAGACACAGATTCCCTATAATGAATGTGATCATTATGTATACATTTTAGGTATCAATAAACTTAATTAATTAAAAACTTTATCATGTATAATGGATCTTTTATTTTTGTTTTTTTTTTCCACTGTGTTCTAGCTTCTCGTTAGAGAAAAAGGGAAAAAAAGGAAAATGTGTTTAAATTTTATCAGTGCTAATTCCCTGTGACAGGGAAGAATAAAAATACTTTAATAATT